TTTTTCGGCAGATAATACACCCAGAGAAATATTTTAGTGTCGTTTGAAAAGTAGATTTACAATCGCAGCAGAAGTTGACTTATTTTTTGCAAACTGGCAAAGTGGAATTAAGTAAGCTTACAAATATATTTAAATGGGCTACAAATATGTTGTTGTTTTATTGGAGTTTTGGTAAATAAATTTGTATTTTCAGGTTCGACAAAATATATAAAGACATTTTAGAAAACTTCAAAGGTAGTATTTTTAATTGGAATTCGGTTAGATAAATTCGATAAAGATACAACAAATTCGAATAGCTCTAATAAAGCGGTATATATTTTTGTTTGGCTGAAAGAGTGAGTACATATCAAGTCATTCGAGGCCTAGTGTTTATCTGAGTGTAAAAGCATATGGCTGGCCACGCCCCCAGGCCCCACGCCCGTGGCTAATGACAAATGGTTGTCAGTTTGTCAGTTGGCCGCTGCAACAACTGCAGATAAAAAGAGAGCAACGCCGTTCTTTTTCCCCCGTTTTTTGCACCTATTTTGGCAGGCCAAAAAGGCAAACTGTGGACTTTCCCGGGGAGTGGGACAAGTTTTTGAAATGAATTGGAAGTAATGAATGAAGGAATGAATGAATGAGCTGAGGGCTTGCCAAAATGCCAAAATGCCAGAATGCCAGAATGGCAAACTGGAGAACTGGAGGCAGCAGCTGCTCGTTGGCCTGTGCAATTAACTGTGAAAACGCTGTCACAATATTTAAAAGTTTTAATTGTTTGTTCAATTGCAATTGCAATTTCAAACTGGCGCCAAACTTTGCACTTTTGTTGTTTTAAACTTGTTCGGCGACTCTCGCTCTCTGATGTCGCCTTTTGGTCCTTTTGGTCCTTTTGCTCCTCGTTTTTTGTTACAGAAAAAAAAAGGAATAATAAAAAGAAAAAATAATTTAACATGAATATATCGCATTTCATGGAGTCATACATCACGCGGCAGTGGAGGGTTAAAGAGGCGGCAGTGGTGCGGGGGGCGTGGCCGGCCGGCGGGCAAGTGACAGCACTAACATAAACCACAATAATATCCAAAGTCATGAAGGAAGTAACCAAGTGTGAATTTTCGGTTTATGCCTTGCGAACCCAAGCGTTGAAGCGGCGCTGCTGCTGTTTTTCCCCATTTTCCCCTCGCTTTTCCCCCGCTTTTCCCCCGCTTTTCCGCTTTCCCTCGGGCAGTGCTCGTTGGTGTGGCTTGTTCTCCTTCCTGTTGTCGGTGGGTCAAACGGGTGGGGTCTGGATTTATAGCTCCACTTGGCCGCACTGGCGGAGTCTCTAGTTCGCAACAAAAATGCCAGGCGAATAATAATTGTGTATTTTAATGCGACCTAATGGGGTTTTAAATTTTGTTCAAATAATATTTAAAGTATAGTTTAAAATTATTAAATAGTTATGCTAAAATCATCAACAAATTAATTATTTTTAAAGAGTATGGAAAGTACAAGTTTATTTAAGAGGCTTAAGACCACATTATTGAAGATTTTTTAATTTTGATAAAAAATAAATGACAAAGTCGAGTTTATAAAATAAAATATTCTCGCTGAAATATAAGGAATTAATACATGTATGTTTTGTTTTATAAAGATTGTTGTTTTAAAACATATTTCAAAGAAATTTCTGTTTGAAATTTGAAAAACAATTTAATTTAAAAACACTTTCTGCTTATTATGGCTTATGTTTTTATTTTAAAAGCCACGTTTTAAAGTGGCGCACAGTGGGGCTCACTGCGGCTTTAGTCCTCGTTTTTTTCTGAGTCCTCCCCCCTTTCCGACGCCACTGGCCGCTTGGCTGGGCACCCCTTGCAGTTGTTTTATTTGCGCTTCCGTTTCGCGGACAGTTTGCTTTGCTGTTTTTACTTCATTTTTCTCCAGTTCTGCACCGCGTATCTAACTGTCTCTGTTGCTCCTTTTTTGTTTTTTGGTTTTTATTTTTTATTTCTATTTTTTGTTTGTTTCTTTCGCTTACAACAGAAAAATGTTGCAACAAAACATTTACGACGTCATCGTTTCACAATTTTCGAGCTGTGAGGCCCCCTTTTGCTCACTTTCTCGCTGTCCTAGAATCGTTGTTTTGTGTTTGTGTGTTGTGCTGTGTTGTGTAGTGTCTTAAAATAAAAATGTTTGTTGCCGCTCTCGTTCTTCGTGTTGTTGTACAAGGTCCGCCCACGCCCATACAAAAAAAAACAAAAAAACACAAAAAATAACAGTGCAAAAAAGAGAGGCAAACCTTGTGTCATTTATCATGCATTTCCACTTTTGGCTTCCGTCGACCGGGACGTGGCCCGCACAGACAAATGTACAGGGACAGGCGGACGGACAAGCGGACGGACGGACAGAAAAACGGACAGCCGGACAATCGGACAAACGGACAGCCGGACGGACAGTGGTCGAGTCGAGTTGCAGGCAAGACAGCCGGAATGATGGCAAGCCAGCCGCAAGCTTTGCAACAAAGAAATTGGGTTCCCCAGCTAGCCTGTTTTGGGGGAATACCCTAGGTACAAAATAAACAAAATATTACCCATACATTTTAAATATTTTAAATTTAAAAAAATTAATTGTACCTAGCCAAAGTGATTCATAATGGTGCCACAAGCAATAAGAAAATATAAGATTAAAGTTTTTTATATTTCTTGATGTTTCAATTACAATTACTATTCAGTATAAATGTAAAAAATACTCAAGTAAAAAAGAAATTATAAATCCCCAAATAATAACAATTTGTAGAATATTATTAGCTACATGCATAACAAAATATTAATACTCCAATTATAAATTTAGGGCAAACTTATTAATTTATTTTTGGAGTTTCAAATTCAGTAAAATTTCTTTTTAAAGCTATTAAGGCGTTCCTTGTAGAAAATTACCATTCAGTATAAATGTAAAAAAAAATCAAGTAAAAAAGAAATTATAAATCCCCAGATAATAAGAATTTGTAGAATATTATTAGCTACAAGCATAACAAAATATTAATATTCCAATTATAAATTTAGGGCAAACTTATTAATTTATTTTTGGAGTTTTAAATTCAGTAAAATTTCTTTTTAAAGCTATTATGGCATTCTTTGTAGAAAATTGTATACCAGGGAAAGTTGTATTTTCATTCTTGTTTGTCGCTGCCCTTGGGCTAATTCACGCATGGGCGTCCAAAAGGGGGCTACAGATGAAGCAAGGCACAAATCATAGACAGACGCAAAATTTATGCGCTTTCATCCGCTAGTCATTCCACGAAAATTCCCATTTCATACTAGAAAAAAAATGACAAAAATCTTTAAGCGGAATTCGAAATTAATCAAGACGAACGAACGTTAAAGTCATTTCCTCCCCGACTGAGCAGCGTTTTCCGCTCATGTCCCCCGGAAAAGTTGCCAAGTCATTTGCGAAATTTGAATATGGAAATGTTGCGAGTGGACGACGGCCAAGAAGGGGAAATTATGAAAAAGTTCTTGAAATTGTTTGATATTGAAACGCGGAAAATATTTCAACCTTCCCCTGGTGCTCCTGATTTTTTTGATATTTCTTTATATTTTTTTTCACCCACTGGAGGGCAATTGATTAAGGACCACGGGAGGTTGAAATGGAAGGGGACGATGGCTGACTGTGATGGAGTGACTGCTCCAGGTGGGCTGACTGGAATGAGTTGACGATTTCCTAGGTCCTTGAAGGATGACATGAAAGGCGAACGAAATTCGGAGTTCTCCACTTTCTCCAGAACTTTATGGTGTGCAGTTAAATGATTTTTATTATTTATAAATGATGAGCAGATAACTTATCTTCTGTGCTCATAAGGGGGAACATGGGGAAATCTGGTTGCCTCAGCTTTAAACTTGGTTTGAAAATAAAACTAGGGATCAAGCGAATCTTTTATAATTTTGTGTATGAAGAATATTATTATTATTTTACTGAAATGCCTATAAGGTGCCTATACCTACTGATAACCCCAATGGTGTTCCTATTTTTCCTACCCTTTCTGTTCAATTCCTAAGCAGCTGGGATTTTGAATGGGAGCAGCGAAGTTGGTTTGATCACATGTGGGGATTCCAGTTTCGACTTTTTCTGCCAAACAAATGCGACGCCATTTGGTCGCTCCCTTTTGCCATTTCTCTAAGCCTCCATTTCCCCATTTCCCCATTTCTCCGCCCCACCTTCCCATTTCTCTCTGTGACGCATCGGGACCGCAATGAACTTGAGCCAGCTGTCAATGTGATAAATAAACTTGGCTTGCCAAAAGGGTACAGCCCCTGGCTCTGCTGCAACATATAAATAATAATCAGGCAGCGGCTGTCTCAGCTGTCTGGCCACAGTGCGTTTCGCAAATATAAGGCTAGTGATAAATATGAATCCTCTAGAGAATGGACGAGAGTTTCTAGAGCACTTCAAAAAAGTTTAAAGACCGCAATAAATTACAAAGTTTTGCTTTATGGTAAAATTAAGGTTTCAGATGTGCTTAAGAATTGGATTTTTATAATAAAAGCGTAATAATAATTTCTTATTTGAGGCTTAAGAACTGTTTTTAATATAATCTCTGTTTATATTTAATACAAATTTATTTCTTATGAACAGGATAGACCTAAAATATTAGAAACAATATTTTCCATTTCTTTTTGGGGTCTAAGTAATGTTAAATATAATATATTGTTGAGAGAACTCTGTGATTATATATTTTCTAGTTGTGGTTCAAGAAATAAAAAATATTCTTTGTTGTTGAACAAGCTTATAAAATCTGTTACCAATTTTGGTAGACCGATCTCACCTAAATATTTATCAAGAATAAATCAAACTTTAAATGAAATGGTGTTTTTTTATATCAGAAATCCAAACAGAATCTGGAATTGGACGGTAAACTTGCCATGCAGTTTTGATTGGATACTTTTGGCATATGCGTATGCTTTTCGAAGCAGTCTGTTTTCAAACTTATTTCGATTCATGTGCCAAAGTTGGCCAACTGAAAATCTTTGTATTTTTCTTATACTTTGCAGCAACTTTTGATCCAAGGGCGTGGCATCGACAGCAATCGAGCAACAGGATGCTGGCTCTGCCTCTGCTGATTTTGGCAATCCTCGCCAGCTGCGGCTACTCCGTGGAGGCCTACTCGAGTACGTATACGTGATATTGCGGGTGGGGTGGGTCTTTTTTGCAGGGGATAACCTGTGTGTTCTCTGCTTGGAAAACCCACCCCTCCCCAAAATGTTATCTGTTGTCTTTCGTGTAATCTGTAATCCCGAGATAAGCATCGATCCTATGGATCGGTGGTGAACGTTTCATGCCTTCATCAAACCCCCTCCCCCATCATTGACATACGTATACCGAGGCTAGAGGAGATTACCCCCGATTTTGTGCAGGCTTATAATTTGTTTTTTCTTTTTTATTCCTTATGATTTCGAACCACTCTCCACTCCACGCTCCACAAAAACAACACACACTGAAACCCGCAATCCGCAATCCGTAATCCGAATCCAAAATCCGGTATCCGATATCCGATATCCGTTATCCGTTATCCGTATTCCGTAATCCCCGAACCTAATCGAATTTCCCGCGGGCGAAGAGTACGGCCGTGGATGCGGGGACATTGGATGCCTGCCCACCGAGGAGTGCGTCATCACCAGCGATTCGTGCAGCTACAACCAGCGGGATGGAAAGGACTGCGGCAACTATCCCACCTGCAAGCGCCGCTCCGGCGGAGGATCATCCTCGGCCTCGAACAGCAGCCCCAATTTGGCCGCCCCCTCGGCCAATCCGTCAGGTATTTAGCTTGGAATCCCCCACTTGATTACTCATTGTGCGCTTCCCTGGGGGAGTTGTCCAGGCGATTGGCATCGTGTCTCGTGTTTTGACCGGCGACTTTTTGGTTCCTCAAAAAAAAGATAATACGAGTTATTTCCAACGATTTGTGTCGAAAAACAGGGATTTCTATGGGGCAACAAAAGCTGACTTCGGTGGCCGAAGATTTTAATAGGCTTGCAGAGCTGATAAAGATATATTACCTTTTAAGACAGGCTGTCATCCGTGTTTGACTCTAACCCATTAATAGTAAATATTTTGTGAAATCGAGCTTGTGTAAAGATTTTACAATGATTTAATCATTATCACATTTAAAAATTTGATAAAATAACTCAAGTAGGAATCCCATATAAGGTCAAAAAAATTCAGTTTTATCTGAAAACCTCTTTGAATTCCGATATGATTTTGGTTGATTAAATAAACAAAATAGCAATTAAATGTATGAGACCCACTCGATTTATCAAGCACTGCAAGGCTATAAATACTATTCCAAATTCTCAAAACTTCTTTTGTGTTGTTTTATGTTTGGCCTTAAGTATATGTTTAGTTTTATGATCGTTTTCATCTCTATACGTATTCAAACATATATGCTAATATGCTATATAACCGAATGTAATATGTTGTATGGCGATCTAACACAGACACACTCGCACACCCACACAAACACACTGAGAGCTTCCGCTGATCAATCAATCAACCTAACACCAAGTCAATCAATCAATCACTCGCTCGCTCGCTCATTCATCGCCTCATTTGCTCAAGGCTTCCTAATATTCGACCGCAAACCACCCACCACCCACCAGCCTCCGCCTCACCCCTCTCCGTCGACCACTTTGCATGTTTTAGGACGTCACAGCACAGAGAGAAAAAAGGCATAGCAATGCCACCTCTACTTTGTCATTGCAATCAAGACTTCTATCACTTCTTTAAAAGCTACGCAAGTATCAAATGTAAAAATAATATTTTTTTACAACCAATTTCGTTTAGATTTGATATTTTTGAAACCATATTTGTTCTCCAATTTATACGGTGAATATATTTCTTGGTATGTGTCGCATAAACAATAAAATTTTCCCAAAAAGAGTTAGTAAATTTAGAATTTTCTAAAACGTTTTAAAAATACAAAAAAATAAAATTTAAAAGTTTTCGTTCGATAAAAGTTGTATCAAAAGATCTTTTAAGTTGGAACAATTTTTTTAAAGACAAGTCACTATTGACTCCAAGTTTATTAAATTCAGAAGAAATACTTTTTCTAGAGTATACTTAAAAATATTTTAGAAAATTCTTTTTTTTATCGTACATACATTTTTTATAATAACTAGAAAATTACCATCACTTAGAATTTATTTTATTAAATTATTATTATTATTATAATTATTTTAAAATAAGTATAGGCACCTTTTCTCTCTGTGCTGGCCGGAGAAGGGAGCAGGCTGGGTGGGGTGGAATGATCATAACCACGACTAACGCTAACGATAAAAACCGCTCTTCTTTCCCGCCATCTTGCCCACCATCGAAAACCGACTAAACCACTAACCACTAACAGGATCGAGTCTGGGCCAGGGACCCGAGAACAACATCTTTGCACCCGCCTCATCGAACCCCACGCTTAACACCTACACGTACAACGGCCATCAGCAGGGTGGCCATGACCACGATGGTGGGATGAACGGAAACGGAAATGGGAACGGGAACGGGCACGCCGGAAACGGGAATGATCGCGACAAGGGCGGCAATGCGGGGGCCGCGGGCGCCTCCTCGACGGGCGTCATCGATCCGCACTACGTGTTCGGGGCGAAACACCACATGCCCGTCATACCGAACATGCCCATCTTCCCGTACAACTCGCCCACGTCGGCGCCCTCGTTCCAGCAGTTCCCCCAACCGAATCATCCAGGCAGCGTCCTCAACCCCGGCTACCCCATGCACGGCCTGCAGCCGGTGAACCCCTACAATCCGCCCTTTGTCTTTGGCCAACTGCCGTTCTACGGCGGCGGCGGACCGACCGGCACCGGCGGTCCGCCCGGCGGCGGTGGAGGCGGTAATGGCGGCATCGGCGGCGGCGGCGGCGGTGGCGGCAACGGAGGCATCGGCGGCGGCGTCGGACTGCCCAGCTCGACGCTGGGCATCCTCGGCGGCGGCGGCGGCGGCCTGGCGCCCTACGGCAGCAACTTCCAGGGCTACCAGAGCCAGCACTCCAACGCGAATATGTACAACAAGCCGCCGCCGCAATACCAGAACCAGAACCAACAGAATCCCTACAACCGGCGTACCCAGGCGCATCCCTCGGCAGCCGGCAGCTTGGGCGGAGGTGGAGGCGGGATCCTCGTCCTGGCCATGGGACTCGTCCTGGCCGGCCTCCTGCCCCACACGTAATAAGCAGGAGCAGCAGCACACAATACCAGCCCCGACGACCCCCTGGAAAATTAAGCCTTTCGATTTGTTCACCATAACCATCACGGAACGAGACCATTTTCACTGAGCTTTCATACGGCCTTTTGACACTGGCTTTGTTTTGGATTTATTTTAAAAAGCCATGGTCAGCAACATTTTTGAATTTATATATTTAATGAACTAAGGTTGCCTTGACTTTTAAAAATAAATCAAGACCTTTACCCAATGTCATAAGGCCTTTACCAAACATTTTTATAATAGCCTTATGATACTGTCTTTGTTTTGAATTTTTTTTTAAAAAGCCATGGTCACCAAGAAAACGTAACAGAGTTTTATGAATGCAATATATTAAATCAAGTTTGGGTTGCCTTGACTTTTAAAAATAAATCTAGGCATCTAGTAAAAAATCAAGCCAGTGTCATAAGGTCTTTACCACAAATCAAATCGAGCAGTGGCTCGGCATTTTTCTAAGTCTTTCAATCTCAAATTAAAAACTATATTATAAAATAATAAGTGAAAATGGCAACTCTTCCGTAGCTTATGTGTTTAATTTTTTGGTTCTCTTCATTTCCCGTATTCTCCTAATTTTTCTCGTTTGAATATTTGTTTTGGCTTAGGCTTAAGAAAAATGTAAAGGCAATGGCAGTGGCAGTTAAATTAGCAATTTAATAATGTAGAATTTTTAAAGAGTAAGTCATGCACAAGAAATTAAGAAATTTCGTTTACCCCTTTTAGAAACGTACATATATTTTTTCAATTTCCTGTCAGGTTTAAAGCAATATGGAACTTTTTTTTTGTTGCTAGCTGTTAGAATTCGTAAATAATTTACTTGTGGTTTTGTTTGACCGGAAGGGCATATGTATTCTTTTCTTTCCTAGCAGTTCCTTCTGAAAACAATAAAAGCACTCACAGAATGATAACTTTTCGTAGCTTTGCACAACAATTCAAAGGTTGTATTTTAATTACACCATAAGCTGTAAGCCTTTGCCGCCTCTCGTTTCTCGTATTTTGGCATTTTTTCTCGGCAGCCTTTTGCCGTCTGGCCCACACTGCGAATACGTAATTTCAATTTAATGTTGTGCAGGGTGTGTCTGCGTGTGTGTGAGTTCAATTGAATGTATGTGTGAGGGTGTGTGTGCGAGTGTGTGTTTTGGACTATCAGTCAAGGGGAACTGCTCGTCGGCCCCTGGGAGTTGCTCTTTTTTGCAGCTCAATTAAATTGGAATTTAATTTCGGGCTTAGACAGCCAGCCTCTGGTCAAAGGGGGCGTGGCAAAGTCTGACCAACACACAGACACACACACACACACACACACATGGTTGGGCAACTTTGATGTTAATTTCATTTTTGTTGATGTTACGAATTTGCGGCCAGACTCTGGCGATTCCGGGGATTTCGATGATGTTAGCAGTGCTGCCACTGCTGCTGCAGTCAAAAATACATAAAAATACAGAAAACACAGATACTTAGATGGATAGTGTTGTAGATACAAGATACGCATGTCAATCAAAATGCATAATGAGCTACATTCGAGGGCAGTGCACCAAGTGCAGCAGATTGATTTTGTTTTTTTTATACGATTACGATTACGATTACGAATATGAATAAATAATCACTGATGCAAATTAAATGGCATTTTAAAAAGAAAACCACAAGAATTAAGCTAGCCTAAGGTGTTCAAAACTAATCTAAAGTAAAAACTAAAAACTAAAACTAAGCTGTAAGTGCTGCAGACTCCCGTAAAATCAAAAAGCTGTTACAAAAAGGCATTTACATTGCTAACCAACTGCCAGAAAAGCAAATACAACTACAAAATCGAAATCGAAAGCCAAAATGCAAAGATACAAAAATACAAAAATACAGAGAATACAAATTGTGAAACATTCAACACACACACACAACCACACACATACGAAGTCAAGTCCCAGAAATTCAAAACTGCCCAAGAAAACAGAACATAACGATTTTGTCGCTGTAAATTCCGGATAAAAAGCACTCAAGTCGAGCATATTTACTCCGTCCGTTTGTATTTGTATTTGTATTTGCACACACACACATGATTTTGGGACACACCGACTAATGCTAACTTCATTTGCAATCTCTGAACCGGAACCATGTAAACAGTACGACCAGTATTAACCAAACTGAAATCATTTTATTGAGATAAGATACTTACACCCCCTCCCAAAAACCGACCCATACACACACAATAAGTATTCGAGTATTTACTAATCAAAACCACTAACTAAAGAGTTGTACATAGCATTAAATATATATATAAATATATGATATATATAAATGTGTGTGGAGTTGGACAGAAGAGTTATATTTAATATACTACAGCGAAGACTTAACTAGAATAAGCCCGGGCGGACAAAAACTCAAAGTTGTGTAGATTTAACGTATTCGGTATGGTAATTAATCAAAAACTAAGTTAAGTTCATTGAATGTAAACGCATTGCGCATTGCTTTATTGTCCTACTGTTTTGATCTACCTAATTTGTGTGTTGTAACTTATTTTCTTATGTTTTTCTTGTATCATTTCCATTTCGATTCGAAATCCCCTGCTTTTGTGGCTAACAACTGCTTTGCCGACTGCGCGCTCACACACTGCTTTGCCGACTGATCGCAGAGGTGAGCCATAACGCATACGCCCCGAATGCCCCGAGTGCTCCGAGTGCCCCGCTGCCGGAAACGGATGCGAACGGTGGTGGTGGAGGCGGAAGTGGCGGATACGGTGGTGGCTTCTCGGCTGGCGGCCACTCCCTGTACCCCAGTCTACCCAACTCGAATGGTGGCGGTGCAGCTCCCTACAATCCATATGCCGGCAACGGCAACGGTGGCTACAATCCCTACAACGGCGGCTACCAGCCCCCAGCTCCCGGCGGCTATCAGCCCCCAGCTCCAGGCGGCTACCAGCCCCGACCTGGCTACACACCACCCGCCCCGGGCTATGAGAACAACGGTGGTGGTGGCCAGAAGCCGAAGGACAAGGAGGGCGGCTTCTTCTCAAACTTCTTCTCGAACCCGGCGGTGAGTCAAGCGGTCTCCGGTATCATTGCAGGCCAGATAGCCAAGCAACTGCAGGGCGGCGGAGCTGGAGGATCAGGTGGTGGCCAGCAGCAGCAAGGTGGCTATCAGCCGAGCGGTGGCTACGGCGGAGGATCCCCGGCGGCAGGAGGCGGTGGCTCCTCCGGCAGCAACATTCTGGGTGGACTTCTGGGATCCGTTCTCTCCGGCGGCGGAGCTGGCGCCAATGGAGGCGGCGGCGGTGGTGGAGCCGGCAGCTTCCTGGGCAGTTTGCTCAGCGGCGGAAATGCCAATCGCGGTGGCCAGCAGGGAGGCGGAGGAGGCTCTGGCGGCCTGGGCGACATCTTCAGCTCGAAGAACTTTGGCGGCCTCTTCAGCGAAAATCCCTCTTCCAGGAGCGGCGGCTCCTCCGATGGCTACTCCTCCCAGGGCGGCGCCAAGGGATATCCCACCCAGGCACCGGGCAACTACTACGGCTGAGCCAGTGGCTTTCATCAGAGGATCGGGAGATCAGGAGATCAGGAGAGGATCCTCCCCAAATCAATTTCACCCTCTACCCTTTTTTTCTTTCGTTCTTTGGCAATGTAATCAAATTGAGAACTTTCAACGAAATTAACTGAAACAATATTGAAATCTATATATAAGCATATTATACGCAACTATAAATGACGATTATACAAATACAACACATATATACAAGCATATATATATATACATATATGTAAACCCGATAATTGAGAGAGCTGTCACATGTAATTTGAGATACCGTGCGCGTAGAATCCCCCCTCCCCCAAAAAACAAGATTCCCCATTCGGAGTTCATTTGTAAATAGAAAATTAACTGAAATTGAAATTGAACAATATACGTAAGAATTGAAAGCCAGCTAGTGGGATTTTTTTATTGGAAAAGGAATAAATGGTGATGTGGTAAGTTAACTTGGAAAAATATAATGGGACTTAAAAGCCATGAAGAAAGAGTATTACGACATAAAAACGGCAAAAAAAAAAATAATTTTTGGTACAAAATACATGAACATATTTTATGCATACATCTAGGCGCCTCAGGAATTTAAAATGGAAAAATTTTCCTCACAAAATTGACCTGCACGTGCGAGTTTCAAGGCTAGTTTTTTATCTTTGACACCAGGCCAACATAATCCGAAGTAGGTGGCTGCTGGGCGCTAACATTTTCTTACTGGAAGAGAACCGTTAGTTTAGTGTAAGCCGACTAGAGGTGGGCCATCGCTTCGTCGGCAGCAAAAGGCCTTACATATTTTGAAGTGGCACACCTCTAAAAAGGCCTTAAAAACTAATCGTTGGCCACCTACGAATTTTCCTGTTCACCTGGTGTTTGAAATTGAAAAATTGCTAGTTTACTTCAACAAATTGAAAGGCTTCGTAACATTTTTTCAGTCAAAATGCTAAATTTATGGTTCTCAAACACCAGGCAAACAGAAATCTTAGCAAGCGACAGCTGGTAGTCAAAAGTGAACTTAAACAGCTGTTCATTTTCAAGATGGCGGCCCTTGCATATTTCCCCTCCTCCCACCGACCAATAGGATCTGATCGCCATGGGAAATAACCGTTAGTTGTGAGGCAAACGCAGACTAGAGATGAGCTACTATGGCTGTTTCACGAGCTTATCACGGTATTGTCACGATCATGTCACGAGCCTGTCACGATCTTGTCACCGTGGCAATAGGAAGAAATCACCAGAGCATCTCTAAGTAAGCTTGGAATAAGCTAATCAGCTGATCGTTTTACACCTACTAAACGTTTATGTTCGCCTGGTATTTGAAATAAAAAATTTAGCAATTTTACCATTTTCTCTATGAGAAAATAAGGCATTTTGGACTTAAGATTTCTATGAATTGTCATTTCAATGAGGTCTGAAATTTAATTTCTTGATCTTTGACACCAGGCCAACATAATCCGTAGCAGGTGGCTGCTGGGCGCTATCATTTTCTTACTGGAAGAAAACCGTTAGTTTAGTACAAGAGACTAGAGGTGGGGCAATCGTATGATCGGCCAAGAAAGGCCCTACATATTTTGGGGCGGCACACCACTAGTTCAGCCTTAAAAACTAATCGTTGGCCACCTACGAATTTTCCTGTTCGCCTGATGCTTCGAATTGAAAAATCGCTAATTTACTTCAACAAATTGAAGAGCTTCGTAGCATTTTTTCATTCAAAATGCTGGATTTGTGGCCCTCAGACACCAGGCAAACAGAAATCATAGCAAGTGGCAGCTGGTAGTCAAAAGTGAACTTAAACAGCTGTTCATTTTCAAGATGGCGGCCCTTTACATATTTCCCCTCGCCCCACTGACCAATAGGAATTGATCTCCATGGGAAAGGACCGTTAGTTGTGAGCCAAACGCAGACCAGAGATGAGCAACCATGGCCGTGTCACAATCTGGTCACAAGCTTGTCACGATCTTGGCACGAACCTGTCACGATATGCATGAAATAACAGGCCGTGCCAAAAGGAAGAAGTCACTAGAGCATCTCTAAGCAAGCATTGATTAAGCTAATCAGCTGATCGTTTTACACCTGCTAAACGTTTATGTTCGCCTGGTGTCTGAAATAAGAAATCTAGCAATTTGACACTGGATTGGCATTCAAACATGGAACTAATGTCAAAATATGTAATTGAATTTCCAACCAAGTGGCATGCATCTTAAATAACTTTTACCTTTTTGAATGTGAAAAGAATGTATTTTAAATAAACCATTAGTGGTACTTTGGGATCATTAGGCCACATCAAAAGTTGGCCAGCCGCAGACAAATGGCAGTGTAAATGGCTTTTGGGCGAACAGAAACTCTGGGAAAATATCAGAGATCTTTAATCAACGCGATCATAACTTTTGAAGAGGCTGTTGACGAAGGCAAGCGGATTTGCGGACCGAAAAGTTGGCCGAGCTGGCGAAGTTTGGCACTCGAAATGCGCTGCGTTTCCGTTGCAGTTTCGGCTGTTCAGTTTGCCAGCTCACCTGTCCTGTGCCGCCTCGCACTTCGCATTGGCCACACCAGGCCACACCTCGCCCGGGGTTCCACAGTTTCCCGGTTCCCCAGTTTCCCGGCCCTCCAGTCCTGCACTTGGCAGTTGGAAGTTATCCTGGGAAGGGAGGCGAGGAGCGGAGGCACGCAGGACCTCCCATCGCCGCTCCGGCAAACATTTTGTTGCCTTTGTTGGCCGGAATGTTGCTGCTGCACTGCAACAATATATTATGCGCTAAGCTCCTCAACTATGCAGCCGCCGGATGGGTGGCCATTTGGCTTTGGCTTTGGCTATGGCGTTGGCTTTGGCTCTGGTTAACCGACTACCGTTTTGTAATTTATTTAAGTAATAAAATAAATATACGTACGTTATGTGGTACGTACGTAGCGCACCTGCCCATGTGCATGTGGATATGTTGGCCCTATGGATGCGAATATGTGGCTCCATGGATGTGGATGTGGATGTGGATGTGGATGCCATGCTGACGGTGGGTTTGTTGTCAAGCGAAAGTGCGCTTCAAGTGCACCAAGCACCCACTTGGCCAAAGTGAATTTAGTGTCAAGTGCAGGAAAATGTGAAAAGCAGCTGCGAGTTAGTTTTTCATATTTAAGCAGCACTTCACCCAGCAACAACAACAACGGAGGGAGCCATCCAACACTGGTTGGTTGTCTATGCAAAATGGATTGCCTTAGGCCTTTCAGAGGTCGTGCGATATGTGGCCATTAGTCAGGGAGTTTCTCGTGGCATTTTTGTTTCTCTTAAGGATCGATAAGGTCCTTTTTGGTGAGTATTATTACCCTCTTGTTAATGTTTAAATATATAATAATAAACCATTTCTAAAAAAATCCTGAGGAATGTCCTTCACGAAAAAAAACCTCTAGTCAAATTGAGCGATATAAAAGTTAAATGGACTCAACAGTTACTTAACTATTAAATATTAATTTTACAATTAAATAGCAGCCTTAGCAACTGCAAAATACATACTACTGTGTTTAATAGTAGTACACTTTTTTATAGTAGCATATTGGTTAGTTTTACCAATAACCATGGTCCAATTTTGGTTCAATGCAAAATGTCTAGCTGAAAAAGGGGGGCTTAAGGTGTGGTTTCACATTTCTAATTATGTTTCGGATATTATATTTTAAACAGGTCTTAAGTATAATAACTAACATGTTATATAGATAAGAAATATTGATTTCAAATTTGGTTGAGAAGTAGGCGGCGTCATTGAATTCTTCCTCGCAACCCCGATCGCCTCACTTCACATTCATTTCAAGTCCCATCGAACCTGTGATAAGTCGTGTGTAGAGCAAACGGAACAAATTCAGCTTTTCAGTTTTCAATTTCGGCCAGATATATAACTATATAGAAAGATACCAAATGGGAATGGAGGAGTATTCGCGTGAACCCTGCCCCTATCGCATCGTCGACGATTGTGGCGGCGCCTTCGCGATGGGCTGCATCGGAGGCGGTCTCTTCCAGGGGCTGAGGGGATTCCGGAATGCGCCGCAGGGCATGCGCCGCCGGTTCGCCGGGGGACTGGCCGCGGTGAAGGCCAGGGCGCCGACCGTCGGCGGGGGCTTTGCCTCCTGGGGCATCCTCTTCAGCATCGTGGACTGCAGCCTGGTGCACCTGCGCAAGAAGGAGGACCCCTGGAACTCCATTATCAGCGGGGCAGTGGCCGGCGGGATTCTCTCGTCCCGGAACGGAGTGGCGGCAATGTTCGGCAGCGCCATCGTCGGCGGAGTCCTGCTCTCGATGATCGAGGGCGTGGGCATCCTGTTCACCCGCATCTCGGCCGAGCAGTTCCGCAATCCCGACCCGCAGTCGGCGGAAGGATTCGGATTTGGATTTGGATCTGCATCTGCATCTACATCTGCTTCTGCTTCTGCAACTGGAACCGCATCTTCAACTGGATCTGGATCTGCATCTGCAACTGGGTCTGCAACTGGATCTGCAACTGGATCTCCAGCCGGCGATATTAACCCTGCCGCGGGCTTTGGGTTCCCCGGCGTCCAGCGGCACTAGCAAAATTTACGTGTTTATTCCGTCACTCAAAGCGACCGTTTCGAACTTCCAATTACAATCGCATATCCAATTTGTATTCGATCGATTATTTCGTGTGCCCCAAACTCGGCCCAGAATCCAAATTATAAGACTAATATGTTTTATATGTAGCCTTCAATATAAATTCACTAGTTTTTATTAAATAACTTTTTTAATTTGCAGTCGTTTACTATTAAAATGAAAGGGCTTAAATCACAAATGGGAAAAATTTGATTATTAAGCTTTAATAACTTTTCCACTCGTTATGGCCAAAGGCTCAGCACTTTAAATCAAATAAATTGGGGGAGCTAAATCAATGTCGAAATGGGATCTTAGATGATTAATCCATAATGGCAAACGTTGAAAATAGTTTCAGATTTTATTTCATTGTCAAAAGTTTATTAATACATACAAAATCATGTTAACATTCAAGGACAACTAAATTTTGAATGATAAATAAGGTTATAAATTTGCCAACTAATACAGGGACTGTACAATTAATCCAAAAATACTAAAATTTCAGCGGTTCAAGATAAAAGAAATGCATAAATAATTGAGTAGCTACATTTAAGGGCCAATAAATGAGACCCTGCCCCACTGTGCACCACCCAAAAGCAGCGAGTGGGTGGTGCAGATCGAGGAGCAGGACTTCTGGCTCGGGGCAGGGATTTCAGCTGGCAGCTCCTTCAGGGCAAAACAATGACGGGCCGCATTTAGAAGCCTTTCGCTCTCGGTGCCCCACGAGCCACCCCCTCCTCCCCTCCTCCCGTAACCCCCTGGTGCCCCTGCACCACTCCAGACCGCCACCCCGTTAACCCATTCCTGCCGTTCCGGATGTCGTTGACTTTTCAAGTCGCATTAGAAGCGACACGGCGGCGTCATCATCGCGGTGGTTGGGTGGCCAAGTGGGTGGTTGAGTGGGTGAACGGGCGATGGGCGGTGGGCGGTGGGTGGGGCATAAAAATACATGTAAGAGGCTTTCAGCTTATTGTTTGGCACTGTCGCGTTTTTATGATTGCACGCAAGGCTCTCTGGTCGTCTGGCTTTTGGGCCCTTGTCTCGGCTTAATTTTATTGATATTACACGTACTTGAAGTCGACGACCAGGTCGAAAACAGCCACACCACACCCATTCCCATTCGCATACCCATTTCCATTCGCATTCCCATCGTCTGGCTATTAATTTTTACGGCTTACGACTTACGACTCACGACTTACGGCTTACGGCAGCCGTAGCATAAATGCCCGCTAGATGGCGCCCCCGCGCAGTTGATCAATTTTTTATATCTATAGGCACTTACTTGCCGCGATATATGTATTATATATTTATGCCTCGCCCGGCTTGTGCAAATCCAATTACGGTTTCATAATCAGGAATCAAGACCTGCAAGTGTTGCCACTTCATCCACTTACTTTTTAGGGTACTCAAAAACTAATTTATCCAATTCAACTGAATTTATCTTTAAGGTATGAACATATTTACTTTGTTTATCATATGTTTTCGATTTTCCGAAAGTGATAAAAAGCTTTTCTGGTTTTTATTTGAGAAAAACTTTTTTTTTAAGATTTTTAAACTTTTATTCTGTAATTACTGGCTAAACTTAATGAAATTCCTTTTTTTGCCAAACATTTCTTGCGGCTATTTTCCCGATTGGCTCATTCATTTTGTATTCTAGCAACAACTATTCCTTAACTTGTGTATTATATGGTTGTTCTTGTTGGTGTTATTGTTGTGTGGCAATAAAAATGCTACAACTTAATTAATTAAGTGCAAATGATAAAAATGACCAAATAGCACGAAACACACACAAGCTCACAAGCACACACACACACTGGCCAAGCAGAGAGAGAAAAAACTAATTAAGTTTTATGTGCAATTTTCGTGGCTGAAAAGTTTCGTTTGTGTGGCAATTGTGTGGTGGTCCAAAAGAGGGGGTGTTGGGGCTGTTGGGGGTTAAGGGGGTGTGGCATGAAGGGGGCGGTGGGGAGAATGTGGCACGTTACGTTGCCGTCACGTTCTGTTATTTATTTTGATAGTTTGTTGTAGCTGCAGCGCTCTCACACTGTCTCCCCACCTCGTTTACCGCCCCCAACCTCTGCCTTTCTCCCACTTTCTCTCGTTCTATGTTTTCCCCATCTCTTTTGGCGGGAAATCTGTGCACTGACATTTGCCGCGATTAATGAAAGTTAAGCTTTTGTCCGAAGTCTTTAATTTGTGGCCATTAGAGGGCAGCCAACACCAACACACAATCATCAATGTGTATATACACATGGGAAAAATAGGAGTGAAAGAGATACGGAAGTGACAGAATCAGACACAGCGAAAAAAGCCAAGGACCCACAAATTATGTGTCTACTCTCTGATCTTTTTTTGCCTAGGTTGTTCGCCTCTCAAAACAGTCGGTATTTTAGCTCTGCGCTTCGGTTTGACCATTTTACGACTGAAGAACGGCTAAAAAATAAGGTATTTATGTCCAAAATCATACTCCCTATTTTTAGAATTTTGGTCGTCACTGTGCGAAATAAGGTCAGAAAAAGAAGTGTCATACCTCGTTGAGCTCGTAATTAAATTTCCAATCGATTGGCATTTAAATCTGGGAATTTTAATTTTTGGTCATTACTTACAAAAAATGCGAAAATTCGTCAAAAAATAAACTTCCGGAAAACTGATAGGAATCGATAGCCTTGGTTGTTAGCTGCTCATAACAGGCGGTGTTTTTGTTGTGCGCCCCGATTTGACTAAATTACGACATAAAAACGGCCTAAAAATAACGCATTTTTCGTCAAAAAATTATACTCCCATTTTTGCACGAAAAAAAATCAGTATTTTGGTAAAAAATTGCGAAATGAGGTCAGAATTATGAATGTGATACCTCGTTGAGCTTGTAATTAAATTCCCAATCGATTGGCATTTAAATCTAAAAAATTAAATTTTTGAAAATTTTTCGAAAAAATATTTGATACAACCCCTTACATAAAATGCGAAAATTCGTCAAAAAATAAGTTTCCCAAAAAGTGATAGGGATCGATAGCCTTGGTTGTTAGCTGCTCATAACAGTCGGTGTTTTAACTGTGCGATTCGAGTTGACCAAATTACAGTTAAAAAAGGCTACAAAATAAGATAACTTTGGCCAAAACCCTACTCCCTAAAAAACACTGATTTTCCCCAGAGATAAGACTATTTATCTCAGTGAGGCCTAGCACTGCGCAACATTCAAAATCGGTGGCAACTGCAGTTGGGAAAAATGCATTGCCTACTTATGTGGGCAACATCAGAGGACCTCGTTGCCAAATTGAATAGCGCATTATGGCGCGCGGGCGGTTTTTCCGGGTGGCTTTTCCAGCGGGAGTGCTGGAAAAACACATGCCTGCCCCGATGCTTGTTTACATGCGTTTGGCGCACTCGCCAGATAAATCAGCAGCAACAACATCAGCATCACAGCAGCAACATCCCAGCAGCAACATCACAACAGCAGCAGCACCAACAACTGCAGCTGCAACATCAACAGACCAGCTCTGATTTAGTCAACGCTGATTGTTAAAGTAAGAACTGCAACCACGACATGGTAAATTTGCAAAACAAACTCTACCTTTTTTTCCTTTTTCCCTTTTTCCCACAGGTGTGGTCAACCTAATAGGGGTAGTAAAATGTTTTCAAAAAACTGTACAAATAAATGACTGAAAACATTTTTATTGCTGGTTTTTTGGAATTTGAAATCAACATCAATGCAAAGTAAATCAGTAAGGGCTTATATTAGTCTTACTCAAAGAATGATATAATCACGTCCAAAGGAACTATCGACTATCAGATACCCAGATAAGGGTTTTTTTTTTCTCTTTAATAAAGCTAAATATTTAATAGCGGAAGTCAAAGCTTAAGCGGATATTTTAGACTACTTTGGGAGCAATTTAAACTGCCAAGGATACCCCAATGTGAACTATTATTGCAACCGCAGCTGTTTGAGCCTGCCCTATTCAAAGTCTCCGATTGCAGCTTTTGAATTTAGTTGCAATTCAAAGCCCACTAGCAACATTGAGAAGTTGTTGAAAAATATTTGTCCTCTGCCATGCAGAACTTGCAGCTTACCCCCCGTTTTCCTCGGATGTGTGTGGGAAAACTTTCGACTTCAGTACACAACTTACCTCAACTTTTGCCGGGGCACAAAAAATTTGTTAACTTTGGCCGAAAGGAGGACTCTAGGACGAAAGGACGAAAACTTTTGCATTCGCCTGCAGTTGAAGTTGGCCGGAGAGTAATTGAGGCACTCGAGGGCGAAAGGAGCCGAGTCCAATTTTCGCAAATCGTCCGTTTTTGCAGGTGATAAATTTTGAAAGGCATTTTAATTGATTTCGACAAATGAAATTAAATTCACTGGAGCGCTGGAGGTGCGAGGTGCTAGCTATGAGCTGAGAGCTCTGAGCTGTGAGCCAACATCAAATATTAAACGTTCTGCCATTTGAATTATCAAATTTCGTTTTGCGCCCTTGCCTCCCATGTGAGTTTCAATTAAAAATTTACTTATTTGCTCGACAAAGTTTTTGTGTGGCATTTAGCAGGGGCTGGGGGCGTGGCATCGGGACGAAACTCAAATACCGAAATGCTCAAATACAAAACGGCAGACAAATGAAGACGGAGATGCAGATGGCATAGGCGATGGGATGGGCACGGGAATGGGAATGGGAATGGGAATGAATAAATTTCCAAGCAGTTGAAATGTTGAACCAAGCGAAGTTTCTGCTTTGTTTTGGCGCCTCAGCTCAAGAAACACACAAAATGAGCAGGGCACAAAGGTGCACTGAGAGAAAAGCCTAGCCAAGCACTAAATAAATTTCCTCCATTAAGTTCTTTCCTTCAACTGAGAACAAAACAGAGTTTGGACTTTAAAGTCTAGTTTGCCTTTCAATAAATAATGGGTATAAGTTTGAAAGAATCCCAAGCGTAGGTTCAAATCGATATGCACTTTTTCTAGTGCAATAAGCTAGGTTAAGTTAAAAACTGAAATTTTAATAAAGTTGGGACTTTAAAAATCAAGTTTTTATTTAATAAATGTATAGGTCTGGAGGATTCCAAGAGTACTTCCAATTTTTACACATTTTTTTTCAGTGAACTTTTCTTTAAAAAAATGAAATATAAACTAAAAACTG